CAGGAGTACGGAGATTTTTCGAAAAAAAAAATTTGTTTTCAGAATTATTCAAAACATATACAAATCGACTCAGTTTTTAACGCTGATTCTAAATTTGATGTTAGTTTTGAATTAAATCATAGTTTTAGTGTACCAAACAAATGAGTCCACTATAGAATATTGAATGTATCCATTCCTCAGATTGACCGCCTCCGCGATAACTTTCGAAAGAAGAGTCAGATTGCGATGAAACTTTCTACATAATTTATTCTTTAGAATATCTCGGTCGAGTTCAAAGATGAAAAGGATCCGTTGAGAAATGGCTGAGTTATCAAAAAAATTTTGTTTTGTGGCTAAGACAATCCCTGAGGGGGGGTACGGGGATTTTTCGAAAAAAATGTTTTTGTTTCATAATGATTGACAAAATCCATAGATCGACTCAGATTTTAACGGTGATTCTACAATCTGTCTCATTCACTTTTTGTAGTACACTTAACTTTCGGATAAAATCCGAAGTTTCCGCATTTATTTATAAGTTAGAGAGGATAGTGAATTTAGTATTTTTGTGAAATTTTCAGCTCTATCTGATAAACTTTTTCTGTACAAACAATCGAAATACTAACGAAATTTTTACTATGAATTTTTTTATTATCTTTTAATCAACTTTCAGTTGGTTTTATTTAGTAAAAGTGACTTTCTCATTTCAAATTATGAGACTTTTGACTTGTCGTTTTTTTTTAACTATTACTATCGAGATATTCTCGTTCTGCATACAAAATTTCAAGAGTTTTTGCCAATCCTAGAACAACTTCTGAAATACCTTTCAAAAAAATTCTATCTTGACATTTTTTTATGTATTTTTACCAAAATATCATTCAGTCGTATTTTATGCTCGAACAACCAATTGCTGTGATATTTCTATCAATGATAAAGTTCTCACCAAGTTCTACCACCTAGAATATCTCCCAATTTTGTACCTTGAGAAAAGTAAAGCATTTTTGATTAAAAGTCAATTTTTTTGTTACGGCACTAAATTGTGAGATATCCTAGATGGTATGCCTTGATGAGAGCTCTATCATCGGTAGAAATATCACAGCAATTGATTGTTGGAGCACAAAATACGACTGAGTGATATTTTGGTAAAAATATCATAAAAAATGTCAAGATAGACTTTTTTTAAATGTTATTTCAGAAGTTCTTCTAGGATTGACAAAAACCCTTGAAATTTTGTATGCAGAAGGACAATATCTCGATAGTAATGATTAAATAAATGCGAAAACTTCGGATTTTATCCGAAAGTTAAGTGTACTAAAAAAAGTGAATGAAGTTGATTGTAGAATCAGCGTTAAAAATTCAGTCAATTGATGTGTCTTGTGAATAGTTCTGAATAAAATCAATTTTTCGAAAAATCCCCGTACACTCACTCTATCAGGGATGGTCTAGCGAAAAATCACAATTTTTTCGATAATTCAGCCATTTCTTAACGGATCCTTTCATTTTTGAACTTGACTGAGATATTTTAAAGAGTGAATTATGTAGAAAGTTTCATCTTCATCTTCGTCTCCTTTCGAAAGTGATCGTGTAAGCAGCCAATTTGAGGAACGGATACAATGGCTATTCTATAATGGACTCACTTGTTGAGTACATTAAAACTATGATTTGGTTCAAAACTAATATCATATTCCGAATCAGCATTAAAAACTGATTCGATTTATCTATCTTGTGAATAATTTTGAGCAAAAAATTTTTTTTTTCGAAAAATCTCCGTACTCCTTCCCCTCAGCGATGGTCTAGCCTAAAATCACAATTTTTTCGATAGCTCAGCCATTTCTTGACGGATCGTTCTTCTCTTGACCGAAATATTCTAAAGACTGAATTATGTAGGAAGTTTCATCTCCATCTTTGTCTCCTTTCGAAAGTTCTCGTGTAAACGGCCTGACATACAGACCGATTAAAGTAGTGTACTCACTTTTTGAGTACAGTAACAAAGCAGCGAATTCTAAGATGTCACTCTATCATCAATATCTGAGTCTCACAGAAACTTATTCCTAAGAATTTCGTTCAATAGCACAATCGTTGTTAATCAGTTCTAGGTAATTTAATTTTATTTGAATTCTATTCAAGACAAAACATTGAAAAAAAAAAACAAAATTAAATATAAAAAATGATGAATTTTTTTTTTCGTCTAATAAAGTTTTAATAAATATTTCATTTCGAAGATGATTGACATAATGCATAAAAAATCCATGTTTTCATTTCCTTGAGAAAAAGATCAGGTTGATTTTCAGCGTAACGCATAAAGAAGAACAGAGGAATTTTGATTTTGATTCCATGAACATGAAATGATTTAAATTCATCGAAAAAGTTATCGCCACATTTTATACAATAATTACAAATCATGCATAAAAGAATATGTGGAATTGTTGAAGCTTCGATTAACCATCGATGAAAATTCGTTGGTGTAATATAATCTTCATTATTCATTAATCCAAACCATTTATATAAAAAAGCGAATAATATATAAACCAATGTTAATATTATTTCGTTTTCTAATAAAAAAATAATTCCATGTGTATTTGCTTTTTCTTGCTCATAAAATCGTAATTGAATAGTTTCGTTGATATGACGATGAAAATTACGAAAATAGGGAGACAAAAAAACCAAAAATAAATAAATAAATATTAAAATAAAATAGATTTTGATGAAAATAAATTGAACGAACAATATAATTATTAAATGAATATATGGAGAATGTTGCATATGAACAAAACATGAAAGTTGATGATCTTCGATTGATGATAATAAAATATCTTGTAATAGAAAAGTTTTATTTGTAGACAACATTGATCAAATCTATTAACAAAAATGATTCAATTTATATAAAGTGTACAATATATACAACTCTTTTTCTTTCAATCTTCAATGTTATCTGTCGAAATATTTCATTTTATATATGATAAATATGTTCATTGTCCGTCGGTTATGTTCAATTCTGTTTTTTTTTTCGTCTATAAAACATAATGGTCTGAAAACAGTCAGATAAGAAATAATAAGTCGACGTATACATTCAATAATTTTGATAATAGAGCAAAAGAAAATGTTTTTAAAAACAATATCAGTTTGTTTTTTTCTTCTATTTAGATAGTTTTTCTTTCACTTCTCAAATACGTTGTTGTAACTTTTTCTTATTCTTATCTCAATGAAAATTCATCAAAATTTATCTTTTTTATTAACATATGCATTAGAATTAATCAAAATTGAATTATATACTTATTAAAATATCTTTAAATAAATTTATTTCAAGAAAAATATTAAGTTTACAAATTCTTTAATTATAAGAATGGATCAAATTTCACTAGGTAAAAGTCCTCTATACGATTTATATGCTGTAATAGCGAGTCCAGTAAATATTAAAGAAGCACTAATCACTTCTATTATTATAAGACATTGACCATAATAAACTAGTTGACAGATTTGTGTATCATCATTTGATTGATCGAATAATAGTAATTGTATATGGTCACAAATTGCTCTAGAGAATTTATCCATAATCATTGTTAATAAACACAATACAAGTAAACCAAATGGA